ATTTAATTTCACAAACCTTGCAAACTTAGTCGAATCCAGTTGTGAGATCTTGTGAAGTGTGCATGTGACCTGCATGATCACGTGTTCTCTGCGTGACTTTCGGTCCATGCAAGTTGAATGCTTTAAACATTAAATTCGTGATTTCAAATTATGCTGCACTTTATGCCCTCTGTCATATTCATGTCATTTTCACTGTGTGCTCTATGTATGATGTGTGTTACCTTGGCTTTATTTGAAAAAATATGATTCCCATTGCACACAATCTTCCCAGATTACTGAGTGCCCTGTTGGTTACAGTTTACTTCCTTTTTAATTATATTTTTATTTAATCTAAGGTGAAACTGATGCCTACCTCTCTTATTCGGCACGAATCCAAATGTTTCCATATTCGCGACATATCTGGATGCTAAAATAGCCTATTTATTATGTAATAGGTTTTACTCGCATCAACATTATCCTTCATATCGGCTATATCAGCAGAATGAGGCACTGGTCACGCTGAACACAATAGATTGTACAACGGAGCAGTGCAACTTTTTATGTTTCTTTAACTGTATTTTATTTTGATAATGAACAGGCTGCAATGTCGCCAAATATATTGTGTCTGTGTGCGCGTGAGGCGCCGGCTCGATGGTCATACCAACGCTGGTTGGTTGCACAGATAGAAGCAAGACATCATTCAAAACTGTCAAGATTTGCAAAATAAATAAAACTTTAAAATAAATAAAACTGTAAAGCTTTTGCAAAATAAAGAAAACTTTGCTGTCTCACTTTCCTTTCCGTGAACTTTGGATCGCGTCACAATGAACCGAAACTCACATTTTATTCTTTCGTTTTGTTAATCTGTCAATGATTTAAGTGAAATAGCCTACATTTCGTGTATAGGTCAATAGAGGCTATTCCTTTTATGTAAGCTTACAGTTTTATTCTGTTTTCTCCGTTCACAGAAGCGCTGCAGGTGCGTGTGATCTGTTGAATCCTTCTTACACTATCCTTGGATAAACTCTTAACGCCGGTGCATTGCCATTGCGACTTACATATGATGAGTTCACAGCTGAACGGGCATTTCACTCGTTGGATGCGTCAGCGTCACATTTGCAGGCCGTACTACTGGAATTCCTGATTGGTTGACGGCAAATTTCAAATATTAAATGGAACGATAAAATAACGTTATTAGGCCATTTCAAATTTTCGATTCTGTTCGGAACTATAAAATTTGATTTAGTTTCTGGTTCTGTTCCTGTCAAAATTTCGTTCGTTTCGGGTTTTCATTTTGGTTCCTTGAACCGGTTCAGAGCCCTGCTTAAGACGTTTCTCAAATAAACTTATTTTATGTTCCCCTGAAGAAAAAGACAGGGTTGAAACAACATGAGGACAAGTGAATTATTATAGAATTATTATAGAATTATTTTGGGGTGAACTATTCCTTTAAATTGTGGCTTCTACAGAACCATATAGCAGTTGCGATCTAACGATCTTGGAAATAAAGTTAAAGCTGTAACAAAAAAAAAAAAAAAAAAGGGCACTTGGTAAGGAAATCAGTTTACTGAAGGAGAAATTGAATTGGATTGTTACATTCCTACAGTAATTGTGAGGTATTTTAAGGCTCATGTTTTCTTTTCTTTTGTAGGTCTCTCCTAAAGATGAACCTAAAGCCCCAACAGGTAAGCCATTTTTATAGTGTTATAATAATGAATGTCGATTGTAAGATGATGAACTTCCTGCTGTATCAAGTGCTAATTTCTCTGTCTCTGAAACAGAGCAAGTTGGGTCTAAGATACCCCGCCTGGAGAGTCCTATGCCCCCTCTCCCTGTGTCCCAACCCCCAGGTGAGGATTTCTGTGTTTTGACATAGGCAGCAAAATAAATCTTTGGTAAAAGTACATTGCTCATCATATACAAAAATAAAAATTGTTTTTATTGTTTACATAACCTTTATGGGATTTTCTGTTGGGTTTATTGGGAAAATGTGAAATTATCTTGGCATTTCACAATATATGACTGCTTCCAGCTACTTCAGACTAATTGCTTTTAGTAATAAACACATACACTGACTACTGTTTTATATATATATATATATATCGATTTCTATTAAAAATATAAGTATTATTTAT